CTTAATAGGGACCAAGTACTCTTGGAATGGTTTAAGAAAAATAAACAGCCAACCAAAATATTTAAGTCTGAAAAGCATCAAGTGCAGGTACAGCATTCCTTCTGACCCTGTGTTTTGTCACTTTTGAAAAGAGCACACGTTTTCAAAAGACTCAGTACAATGGGCATTTTACAGGCATATAACCTTGTTTTTACTAGGTAACATAAACGTGTTTATAAGAAACATTTTTCCCCTAAATAAACAGTTGCTACCTAACTCACCCCATTAATTGCATTTTTCTTCCAAGAAACCTTTGCTGTACCTGTGCATGTACATTTGTACCATCATAGCTGTAGCTGTGTCCATGTTTCTGCAGTTTGAATAGTTGACTGTAAAAATCTCTCAGCTTGCTCAGTACTCTCTACCATAAAGGGACTTTTATATTATCTCAACCTAGTCTGGGATTAGGATTACATTTACATTTTTTTTAAACTGAAGCACTTGCTATAATTTTAAATGTTCCAGAAAATGTGTAGACCTGAAGACTTACTCAAAGTTTGAAAAAACAAAAACAACCCAATAGATCCATCAATTCATAATTCTGGGGACACTGATTTACTAAAAACCTGACTTTTTCCTGAGTTTGGTCATTTATAAAGCTTTCTTACTTATGAATTTATCATTTATCTTCAGGGCTAATTTATTGCATCTACACAGTCACAGGTGTGTGTATATATCTGCACATGTTGGCCTGGGTGTTCACTGTATCTGTGTGCATGTGTTAGCCCAAGGTTGACATCTGGAGTCTCCCTCAACCATTTGCCATCTTATCCATTGAAGAAGGGCCTCTTGATTAAACCAGAGCCTGTTGATCAAGTTGGTCTCACTAGCTGGCTTTCTCTAGAGACTCTCTGTCTTCCTCTCAAGGGCTGGAATTACAGAAGGGCCACCACACCCTACTGACATTCATGTGGGGCTGGGGATCTGAATTTGGGTCCTCATGCTTGCCGCTTGTGTGACAGATGTTTTAGCCACAGGGCCACCTCCCCAGGCCCTTCATGATAAGTAGAAAAAAATTCTGCTTGATAACTATGCATTTGTTTCTAAACCTACTTTGTCATCTTCCATGTTAATTTGTGACTATTTTTTGTTTATTTACTATTACCTTCAAACTTGTGGTTAGTTTATTTTCTGACTTTCATTTTACCCCCTTTTACTTCTGTTTTTCTTTTAGATAACTGCATTTGGAATTTCTTGATTTATTTTCCTTTCTCCAAAAATATTTCTAAAACTCTGAATTAACTCCAACTTTTACTTAGCTCCTAGCAGTTAGATATTAATATAGAGTTTCTTCGTTTTCATTATTGGCTAAATGGCTTTTTATTTTAACTTCTTCCTACAACCAGTCCCTCTTTCTGAGGCTGTTTTTTTATTTCCGTGTGCTTGGAATTACCTTATGAGGGACCTAGAGATGCAAACTGTAAAGTGTCGACTCAGCTCTTCAAGGGTGTCCTGACACTTCCGAGATGATAAATGTTCACACCTGTGGATACCTGAGGAGATTTCAGGCTAACCAATTGGAAGGCTGTACTTGACTGTGGATTCCTTCCTAAAGCTCCGCTGCTGCCATGCCAGGCTCCTCAACAGTGTTAGGTTGTGTAGAGGTGTGTAGTCCCCATAGCAAGGGGTAAATGACTGGGAGTAGTGGGTTAACTACCCAGTAAGAGTTAAACAAATACCATCATTTCAAAGAGAGGGCCCCAGTAGTCAAAAAGAGCCTGCCATACATAAGTCACGTCTTTATCATGGGAGCTGATGGATAAGTAGCACCTCCAGACCTCTGTCCTCTCTTTCTGCCGTCATATGCTGGCCTTCCAAGAAGACTGCTTAGGTCATTGGCTCCAGCTACAGGTTTCACCTTGAAGTCTTTCTAACTCAGTCTCTGTCCTATGATATACCTTGAAAAATTAGTTTTATAATGCAAAAAATGACTTTAACTAAATGCTACCGGAAAAGTCTCCAGGGACAAGGAATTACCTACCTCATTCTTCTCTAAGAGTATAATTTAGATATCACATCTGCCATGATGTTGGGCACATGGTACTCAACAAATTCTTAGGGAATATACCATTGTTGTCAATGGTAGTGGCATAACCATGGAAATGATTGTTAGTGGAAAAATGATAACTACAGGCACTGATTGGTGGTGGATGGATAACTACAGGCAATGCCTGATGGTGGTAGGTTAACTGCAGGCAATGACTGATGACGGTAGGTTAACTACAGGCAATGGTTGATGATGGTAGGTTAACTGCAGGCAATGGTTGATGATGGTAGGTTAACTGCAGGCAATGCCTGATGGTGGTAGGTTAACTACAGGCAATGACTGATGACGGTAGGTTAACTGCAGGCAATGACTGATGACGGTAGGTTAACTGCAGGCAATGACTGATGGTGGTAGGTTAACTACAGGCAATGCCTGATGATGGTAGGTTAACTGCAGGCAGTGATTGATGATGGTAGGTTAACTGCAGGCAGTGACTGATGACGGTAGGTTAACTACAGGCAATGACTGATGACGGTAGGTTAACTGCAGACAACGACTGATGGTGGTAGGTTAACTACAGGCAATGATTGATGACGGTAGGTTAACTACAGGCAATGACTGATGATGGTAGGTTAACTGCAGACAATGACTGATGACGGTAGGTTAACTGCAGGCAGTGACTGATGACGGTAGGTTAACTACAGGCAATGATTGATGATGGTAGGTTAACTGCAGACAATGACTGATGACGGTAGGTTAACTGCAGGCAGTGACTGATGACGGTAGGTTAACTACAGGCAATGATTGATGATGGTAGGTTAACTGCAGGCAATGCCTGATGGTGGTAGGTTAACTACAGGCAATGACTGATGACGGTAGGTTAACTGCAGGCAATGACTGATGACGGTAGGTTAACTACAGGCAATGGTTGATGATGGTAGGTTAACTACAGGCAATGACTGATGATGGTAGGTTAACTGCAGGCAATGACTGATGGTGGTAGGTTAACTGCAGACAATGACTGATGACGGTAGGTTAACTACAGGCAATGACTGATGATGGTAGGTTAACTGCAGGCAATGACTGATGACGGTAGGTTAACTGCAGACAATGACTGATGACGGTAGGTTAACTGCAGACAATGACTGATGACGGTAGGTTAACTACAGGCAATGACTGATGACGGTAGGTTAACTGCAGACAATGACTGATGGTGGTAGGTTAACTGCAGACAATGACTGATGGTGGTAGGTTAACTGCAGACAATGACTGATGACGGTAGGTTAACTACAGGCAATGACTGATGATGGTAGGTTAACTGCAGACAATGACTGATGACGGTAGGTTAACTACAGGCAATGACTGATGACGGTAGGTTAACTGCAGACAATGACTGATGGTGGTAGGTTAACGGCAGGCCGTGACTGATGACGGTAGGTTAACTACAGGCAATGACTGATGACGGTAGGTTAACTGCAGACAATGCCTGATGGTGGTAGGTTAACTACAGGCAATGATTGATGACGGTAGGTTAACTGCAGACAATGACTGATGACGGTAGGTTAACTACAGGCAATGACTGATGACGGTAGGTTAACTGCAGACAATGACTGATGGTGGTAGGTTAACGGCAGGCCGTGATTGGCAGTAGGATAACTGCAGGCAGTAGTGTAGCTACAGGCATGGATTAGTGGTAGGGTAACTACAGGCAGAGGTTGGTGGTTGTAGGCTAACTACAGATGGTGACTGGTAGTAGTAGATACAATCATAGTGCGGGCAGAGGTGCCCCTCCTGGAACCCCGTGTGCAGGCTCAGCTGTGCTCTTCAGCCAATGCTTAACCATGGTGTGTTCTTGGTTGGTTTTCCCATCTGTGGTGTGACTGGCTAGGCCGAGTGCTTTCTTGTCTAGAGATCTAACATTAGGCTCATTCATTGGTGTTTTTAGGAGCCAGGCTGCATCAATACCAGATGTAGATCTCACCTATCCCTTCTTCCAAAGTTAGCCTGCTCAAATACTCCTTAAAAGCAAATCTCTCTGAGCTAAAGTCAAGATAGAAATCTTTGCCAACCTGCTACTCCATCTGAATGCTTTGGACAGGTAGAAATCAGCTCAATATTTCTGGAATGAACATAACATTTTCAAAGCTATTTATCAGCTCTACTTGTACTTTCCAGGAATGAAAGTGAAATTTCCAAAGTAAGTGGATCCAGGCTTGTGTTTTTCCTTCTGAAAATGCTGGCACGTGTGTTAATTTGTATTCATTTCCTATCACATCTAGCAACCAAAGTATGTAAAAGAAAAGATGGAACATAAAACATTTGCATGGCTGGCCACAATCCAGCACAGTCCTCCACTGTGTGTGTTACTCACAAAGGGAGCACATACATCCTTTACATATCGTTATCAGGCAGGTGAAGTGGCTCAGGGAGGAAGAAAACTTGCTGCGCGAGCGTGAGGACCTGAGCACCCCCATAAAAAAGCTAAGCATGATGGGACATGTGCCTGTAACCCCAGTGCTGGTGTGTCAGAGACAGGAGGGTTTCTGGGGCTTGCTGGCTACAAGCCTAGATCCAGGGCCAGTGAGAGACCAAATCTCGAGGGAATAAAGCTGAGAGTGGGAGAGGAAGGCACCTGGCACACACGAGCCCTTTCACAGATGCACACACAAAATACACAGCAAAGAAATAAACACTGTTATCACATCATCATGCTTAAAGTTATCAGTAAGAATGGAGATTCTTATCCTTACTATTAAAGAACAAAATATCTCAGGCTCTCTGAGACTAACAAACGTATCTACCAACAAATATATCCATTGCCAGTTTAAAACAAATCACAAGCTTTATGTCAGAATGCATTACGGCAATCCATTCATCTTATGGCTTTCTTATATCTGTTATAATAAATCCCTCTGCCACGGTTTTCTCTCTGTCTCACACAGGCCACCGTAATTACAACCAAGCACGGGCTTACCTGTGCGATAGACAAAGTTGCCTTCCGTTTCTGACGACGACGGAGACACCAGCTCTTCCTCAAATTCATTGGAGCTAAAAGACCCCGAGTGGTTCCTTTGCCTTGTTTGCCCCATCATAGCAGAGCTTGTGGCCATGACATGCCTCAAAGAGTCGTTAAGGTAACGGTTCAACAAGCTGCTCTTGTACTTGGGAGGTGACACATAGTCCTCGGGCGCCCTTGACTCTGGTCTCACTCCAGCCTTTATCACTGAGCTCTCCCCTTTAATCACAGTGTGATGGGCAGGGGTGCTATAGCCCGCTTCGTTCATGTGATTTCTTGGGGGGTTTTCTCCATCTGAGGGGAAAAATATCACCAAGTAGTATTTGCACATACTTCTCTTAGCTGCTCAACTGTCACATTTAGCCATCAAAAATACGCACAATGGAAGAATATATGCCATATGTAAGATTATTTTTGATATATAAGATTAATTTTAGGTAAAAGGATGCAGGAACCTATGTAATTGTTCCATGGGGTATTTAATTTTAATGAAAACGCTTTTTTACCCCTACGGGACAAATCTATAAACAGAGGAAATGGCTGTAATTCCTGTTGCTTTATAAAATTGTAAAGGTGAAGTTACCTCATGCAATAAAACCCAAATCTGTGGCACTACAATATTTTGTGGGGTCAACCATTCAGACAGCATCTAGGGTGAACTTATTACAATGGCAAAGCAAAGACAGGAAAACAAAAGCCTGAACGAACCTTCAGAGCAGGAGTCGTCGCTGCTCACGCTGAGTCGCTCCGCGTTGCCCTGCACATACTTGTTGTATAGCTTTATTCTTAAGGCCCAGCTCAAATCTGGCTGACGAACAGTGTTCTTCAGCCGACGTCTAGCATTAGCAAACCAATTTGACACCTAAAACGGCATTAGTTTTTCAATTAACATAGCATTAAAACGTGGTGATTATGCAGTAACTTTCTCTTAAAGGGTCCAAGACCAGGACTCCCGCTATACACCTGTGGTCTTAGCTACTTGGGAGGCTGAGGCAGGAGAATCACTTAAGGCCAGGCTTTAGGGTCAGCTTGGAGAACAGTGGGAGGCACCATCTCAAAAGAGAGGGAGAAGAAAGGGGAAGGGCAGGGAGAGGGAGGATGAATGATACAAGAATCCACAAACGTGAGTGGAGAAGTCAACGGTGATGTTGAGTTGACCAACTTGTGTTGCCCTGAAATTTTGAAAAATAAGACAGCTTTCTGAGGATGTGCCGGTATGTCCTGTTTGGGGAATATTTACGCTAAGGTACTAGAGACACACACAGATGACGACGGCCCAACAGGAAAGCGAAAGTCATACGTAAGACTTAAAGGAAAGGAGGGTCCGATGTGAGGGTGACAGGCTGAGGTTCACCTTCAGGCTGAGCTGTGAGCAGGCAAGCTGACGCGAGTCGAGGTCCAAGCCTTGGAAGCCAATTAAGGAGCTGGACACTTAAAAAGAGGAGCTAGCAAAATGATCAAAGGTGGTGCAACCAGGAGCGGGAAGAGGGGAAGGCCAGGACACCCTGCATGGAACTGAAAGTCCACTGTTAAAGACATCAGTGAAGACAAAGAAATAACATTTGAATTACTTTCGTTCTTCCTTCACCGAGCCATTGAGTTCCTAGAGGATAGAATGTGCTTTTCTCCTAAAATATCAGGCTATCAGGATATCAACAGCACATAGCTTAAAAAACAAAACAAAAACCAAAACCAAAAAAACTAAAAGGACAGTATTTGCTTTTAAAAATATGAACTATATCAATACCTATTTTTTCTATGAATTTCTTCCAGAACACAAACTTCTATTACTATAATGGTTTGTGTGGCAATGTTTTCAGTGGAAGACCCTTTTCCTCTCTTTCTTTCTTTCTTTCTTTCTTTCTTTCTTTCTTTCTTTCTTTCTTTCTTTCTTTCTTTCTTTCTTCCTTAGTCATGCTATAAATATATTTAGGCTGTTTATAGTATAGGATAAGTGTTATAAATATAAAATAAGTACTTTTGAAAACTGCTCAATATCTAATTATTATTTGAAACTATAGTGATTGCTGCTTAAAAAAGGAAAATTAGATTTTCCTCCTTGTCTAACATGTATTTTTTTTCTCATAACACTTGACTACACTCATATTGCCCCCTTCTGCCTTGAACAAGATGGCCGTCCTTTCACAGTGTGTACCAGACCACTGCAAAACCTTAGTCTTCATCAACCTCTCTTCCAGTCCAGCTGAACTGTTATTACCATGATTCAGTGCTTCAAATTCTCAGTTTCTCCATCCTCCTCACATAGGCAATATCCAGGAGTATTCACTCAACAAATAAGACAGTGAGTAGCTACTGCATACTAGCTATGGTATGAAGTGCAGGCCTTGGCAAGGCCATATCAACACACACACACACACACACACACACACACACGAATCTACAAATATGACACACTCACCTGAACCCCTATAATAACAGTAATAATCTGAGACCCAGGGCAGTCATTCACCATGGAAGCAACAAGCTCCTGGTCTCTTCCTCACTAACTTTCCCACCCTCCCCTCTGGTTCTCTCGCTGCCCAAATTTTCATGAAATCCCCATGACTATTAATTGGTAGCTTTAGAAACATTCTCTCAGACTTCCCTTGTTTTCATTCTGTTCTCTTAAATGGATCTTAATAACTATTATAAATCCAAAGGGGATGCATTGTTTTGACTTAATCAGTTTACTTCTTCAAGTCATTATTAATGTCCTGCTGCCCTGTGACTGTGGTATAATGAAAAGTGGCCTGGTTCCCTGTTCTGAGTTGTCTAAAAACATGCCACGTCATGTAAATTTAGTTAACTCATTCTAACTTTTCCTGAACTTCATCTAGGGGCTGGGATGTAACACAGTGATAGAGCGCTGGCCTAGCATATGCAAAGCTCTGGGTTTGATCCTTAGCATGAAAAAACAAAACAGCAATCCCTTCGCCTGCTGTAAAATGATTCAGATGTTCCCAACATCTTTATCAGCTCTAAAAGCAGAGCGCTGGGAACCAGCCTTCACTGTCTACATACCCGCCATCCTCTCGGCAGCTCGCCGTCCATCCTGCCTCCTGCTCTCACCCCTGTTCCTTCATAAGCAGTTGCCAGCGACCAGGCCTACCTGTGCACCTCTCACACGGAGGAGGCCAGCCTGTGTCTTCTCCTGTGTTTATAACACATTTCATAGGACCCAACACCAAACGTTTTTGTGTTATTTTCTTTACTAAACAACATATAATTTAGACTATATGAGTTAGATCTTAACTAATGTTCACTAACTTGCATTATACCCATATGGTACAGTATGAAACTCAATTCTCACTACATTTCATATAGTAAAAGTGGAATGACTTACTAGTTAAGAAAAACAAACAACCGTATACTATAATTCTAATGTATAAAAATGGAAGAACATTTAAATGTCAGAGGGAATTAATTGGCTTTTCACAATTAGAGATTTTTTTTTTCCGCGAGACAGGGTTTCTCTGTGTAGATTATCTATTTTTAATGTGTTGTTATATATTCCTAGTTCTCAACCTATTATAATGACATTAGGAGATTTTCCAGAAAGGTCAGTGATATCTAACATAGGCTTTTTCTTAAAATTTGAACAACACCAAGTCTAGTAGCATACATACACTGCCAGTATTTTATCACCAGAAAGCTACAGTACAACTTAACTGCTAAGTGTAGGCTGAGGGGTTGAATAGTGACTCCCTGGAACACCAGAAGTACTAATGGCTGGTGAATTTGCATATTTTTGCATTTTTCCTCATTGACTTAATGTAAATTACTTGTGTCACTGACAGTAAAAACATAGACTCACATTTTCTATGTTTGACACCCACTTTGGGTTCCTTCACGTTATTGTTCATATTCTCTTACCAAGGGTAGGTTCTAGAGCAGCGTTTTAATGTCAGAAGTGCCTTTAAAACTGCATATTTTATAGCGAAAGCTTAAAGAGCCAAATACCTAGAAGCTGGAAGCGAAAGTTTTCCACACATCTTTACCGAAGGCGTTTAGGTTTGTTGTGTGGACAGAGCAATGCAGTGAGGACCCAAAGGGATGAACTGTCGTCTGTCCAGTTTTGAACATATCAAATTAACAAATCTACTCTGAGTTATTAGCATAAATATTGGACATCTTCTTTCTGTACCTATAACACTTGGAATGATGTATAAGGCCACATCTAAGATTTTGGTTGAATATGTGACAAGTATTATCTCAGAATAAATACTCAACTACCAGCAAAACCAGCTATGCCAATGTTGGAAACAAAATTTTTTTTGTAATACTATGATTTTTCCAAATGTACATGAGCACATCACAGGAATGAAATTTTATTAACAAAAGAAGCCCCAATACCCAAGCATTATTCCTTGGTAAGCTACATACCTTACAATAATGCAAACTTTCCATCTCATACTGCTAGTTATTGTCCACAACAACACAAGCTATTCCTATTTTAGGAGTACATAGCATATTTTTTATAGTATGTGAACAGTGTTAGTGATAGGAACTAAGCCAGTATAATAAGATTTTGTTTGGTTGACATCAAAGCATGTCACACAGAAATACTCTCTTTAATTTTGATCAAAATGCTTCTTATGATTTCATAAAGATGACATGTGCAATAAGAGTTAAACACAGGTATAGCAAATTAGGACCAAACTGTTAAGGTGAATGAATAACAATAAGTGGGAGTCACATGATCAGTTCATTCATTTCTATTTCATTTTCTCAGGGATGAAAAACGGTAGGTACTAACCAATGTCCTCCAGGGGTCTATGCATCAGAAAAAGTACTAAAACACATTTCCATCTTTTTACTTCTGTGCTTCATGGGAGATTGCTGACTAGGTTTCACACCTTTCCTTGGCAGTTTAAGAGAAGCAAAGGAAAGGAAAATTACAGTATAGGAAAAGCTTGACACACACTCAGAGGAAAATGTAAAATGTGAAATAAATGCCCAAACTTAAGATATTTTGTTGAGGAATAAAATAGTTATGGTGACAGCGTGTTGCAATAAGCCATGAGGAAGAAGTGAGAGGGGCCCTGTAGTGACCAAAACCAAGAGTTCAGACAGATGCAAAGGCAGCTTTCCAAATCTCCCTGCAGGTATAGAGGTATGGTATATTCGTAGACAATTTGAAAATAAAGCGAGGCATACTTGTGCTTGTTCTGAAGACTTATTCTACAGGATAAAGCTATGTTCTCAAACTAAAACCAGAGTTCAAAACTTCCTGTAACTGTCAGAAAGACATTCTGGAAAGCTGTGTGACTCGAATGCCATTTCCCAGAAGGCAGAAGCGATTCAATCTACAAGCACGTAGGGGTAGTGTGCTGCTTGGAAAGAGTCATACTACAGGGTAAACCCCATGAATAAGACATGACCACTCTTCTTAAGAAGGCTCACTCCACAGGAGAAAATGACTCACAGGGAGAGTCTGACTCAGGCCATGGAGTCTAATTGCAAGGATCAAAAGCCTGACTCAGATCACAGCTCTATGCTTTTCCTCCAGAAGTGCAAAATATTTGCATAATTTATGCAATTTCCATAAAGCTGGAATATGCTTTGGATGTCTAATTCATGTTTGACTCACATAAATTCCTATATAGATGGATGTGTGGGCATACATCGCACATTATGTGTATCTTTTGCATATGTCATTGTGCATAGTTGAAAATAACTGAACCTCAGATGGATTACAAATAAGGTCCTTGGGTGGTAATTTTATGCACTTCAAGTTTTTCCACTTATCATTTTAAAGTTTAAAAAATTTATCTTACTGACGATAATGAAAAAAATCATTGTTATACATATGTCACCTATTATTGCAAACAATCTTTGATTCCCTTAAGAATTACATATTTTTATATCCTGAATGGTATAAAAGAATAAAAAATTTTTGAACGAAAATTTCACATAAATTAGAAAAATGTAATAGTGTTACCGAGATATAAGTGTGAAAGCAGTTATTTGTATTAAAATTATCATTACAAGTGGCGAGTAACTATATAACTAAATTAAGAGTATAACTTTGCATTTCAGTTCATTCAAATTAACAATTAAAGTATAATAATTTAAATTTCTCTCATAACTACAAATGTTACTTTTTAATCACTAAACAGTTTTAAAAAGCATGTCAAATAGACTTGCTTTACATATGAATAGCAGTGAAGCTACATGATCAGCCAAAATAATATAGTGTTTTATTGCTGAACTTTCTACTATTCTTCAAGCACCTCTGTAAGTGGGCATATGTCCAGAATAAGTAACAGGCCTGTTTAAATTAACATTGGAGCATATGCATTTATTTTCATAAGTCAAGTTTTTCTGATTGTAACAACTATTTAGAAACTGCTTTTGCAAGGTTCACAGTTTTGTGTTAAACAGATCTCAAGCCAAGAATACAGAATTAGTTTTTGCCTCCAGTGCTGTGGCAAATCACCATTATTACAATTTCCTGTTGATAAGAAGGAAAGCAGATGTTTTTCTCTAAAACTGTATTCTGAAAATAAGCAGAAAAATACACGCTGGAATTTTGTGGGGCCTTGCAACAAGCCAACACAAATGCTTTGTCAAACTTTCCAGTAATTCTTAAATGAAATTGTAAATACTCTGGAAGGAGATTTTTATTTTATCGAGAGCAGTTTTATATTGGATCTCTCAGTGTCCTCTTGTCCTGCGTTCCATGAAATGTCCAAACTTTCTCGCTTGTGCTACTGTAATATTTGGAGTCTTCCGGCTCACCCTATGGCCTCCTCTTTATGAATCTGTTGTTTACACAAAAGTTGATATCACTATGTTCAGTGAAGAAAACTGTCGTGTGATGGAAAAGCATTTGATCCAGGATTTGTTTCCAAGACCTCTGGCCTTTACCCACAGCTCCCCTGCACCTTGGTAAAACTGGTAGTAACTGCACTGTACCGACGGTTTGGGGTAATAGCAAACACGACTGTGCTCAGAAAAGCTAATGAAATACAAAGCAGCGTTTGTTCACTAGAAAAGAAACACGCTGGCACGATTTCCCTACAACTGACAAACTGAACCGGCCGCTCACAAACTGGAATCTTCTCTTCTTAGACCAGAAGAAAACAGTAACAATGTGCTGCGGTTTCCAACTGGGCCAGGATGATGCAGCGTTTAGAAGCCTCTTCCCACCTTTCCTGTTTTCTGGCTTACCTCTGAATAATGGTTATTTTTACTTATTCTGTACATATGCTTTAATTGGGGGTCTAGCATGCACCCACAGGCCCCAGGGTTCTCAAGGCTTGACCAGCATCTTCAGCACCACCAACTTGTTAGAAATGCGCTTTATGGTCCCTCCCCAAAACCACGTAATCAGGAACACAGAGCACGATGCAAAAATCTGTGCTCTGAGTAGACTCCCTAGTAACTGATACACACTAAAGACTGAAAATTACGGTGGGTGGCACCATCCTTATCCATCATGGCTCCTGAACCAAGATTCCTAACCACCTTCTTATCACACTGCAGCTGGCCTTGTATTCCCTCCACTCTCAACACGGCATCACCGAAACTCCTTCTGGACCCAATCATTCGCACTGAGGTGATTGATAGGGGTGAAGTCTCTTTTCCACGACAGGACCTGGCACCTGTACCTAGCCCTTATCCTTGTCAGCGACAGAAGCCAGAGTGTCTGGACCCGCCTATGAACGCTGTGCATCATCCTAGGGAGAGGCGCAACCGCAGGGGCACTGTTTCTGCTCCCCAGCGGCTGGCGGGGAGACGGGACCCCGGTTTGAGGGGTCTGGATTACCTGTACTAGCGTCATCTGCGAGCCGAGGGCCAACAATATCTTCTCGGTCTTCGTGGGGTACGGGTTGTCACGGTGCTTATAAAGCCACTGCTTAAGAGGCCGTGCCATGTCTTGCAGGGCCTGTCGCTTGTGCCTCACCTTCCCTCCATTCTGCCGGGCCCTGGGACATGAGGAGAGGAGAGGGACGTGTTAGTGGCACCTTTTGGGTGGCCTGAAGGACCTCCATGATAGGTCGCATTTCTGCGACGTCAGCATCCAGCCCGGGCTTAACCGAACCCCACCCCCAACAACCCAGGATGTCTATCATGCATCGCAACTCTGAGAGCCCCACAGTTGGGGCAAAGCAAGAAAAGGAAACCCCACAGCTTCTCACTGGGGGCACTAGGTCTTGCTCATTTCTCCGAATAGCCTGCTGGCCATGGGGTCCTGTGCCTTACATTTATATTGAAAGTGGAAGCTATCTTGATCCCAATAAGGCAGGGCTGCAGGGGTAGGGATGAATGCCACGTGGTTGGAAAACTGTTCTTTTGACTGAAGATCTGGACCCAGAGCTAACTGACCCTTTCCTCGCCCGCTCCCCCAAGCCATTGAGTGGTCCTGGCCTCGGGGCGGGGGGTAGGAGGGTGGGGGTGGGGAGGCCGGCCCTCCAGGTTCTCTTGCTTAGGTCCTGGTGCTGCAGTTCGCCAGTGGTCAGGGAACACATACTGGAAGGCGGAAACAAAGCAAAGGATGGCGGAGGGCAGCCTAGACTCCCTAAACTCTCTCATTTCATTTGATGCTGGAAGCTGGGAAAACGGCAGACCCTACAAATCAGTCTAGGGCCTCTTTCCCTCTTTCGGAAGAGTGAAAAGTGTGAAACGGCGTCCCAGCAGGCAAAGGTTTGTAAAAGACCTCGGGAAAGCAGACTTCCAGGAGGAGCAGGCTAAGCAGCCTTCACTCTATAGCCGGCGTAGGGTGATGCGCTCCCGAGAGGCTCCGGGAGGTGTCGCCGCGCAACTGCGAGCGCTCCCAGCCCCAGTCCCCGCTGGTGCGCCTGCGCCCCTGCCTCCCGGGCGTCAGCTTTTTCGAACTCTTTGAAATGCAATTCCATCCTCGCTGACTGGTTGTAACAGTTTGAGGAAGCCTAATCTCTATCACTAAGCGTCAGTGCGGCAAAACAAGCAATTGGTGTTGTGGTTCAGGAGGAGGCCGACCTCTCTAGGAGACGCGAGGACCTTGCCGGGCGCACACTGCCCTACATGCCCCGGGACTGGAGCAGATGGCTCACCCCGAAGCTCTCAGGCGACGACAGCCCGCTTACTCCCAGAAACCGAAAGCCACCCGCTCCGCAGTCTCCTCCTCCGGGCTCGCCGCGGGCCCAGCCGAGCTGTGAGCGCCAGGGACGCCGTATGGGGAACCCACCAAGGTGAACCCCGAGGCCAAGGTGAGCTCCTCGAGTGACAGAAGACGAAGCTCCCCGAGGCCTTACCTGAGAGCCGTCTGTTCGACTCTACACTGTCAGAGCATAGTGCTCAATCTGTTGCCAAGACACGCAGAAAAAGCAAGAAACTACTCCAGGTCCCCGAGTGCCAGGGACCTCTAGGTGCGGGAGGACAGGGCGCCAACTCGATTTCCACCAAGCCTCTTTTGAACCGTTCTAAGGAATTAATTCCTCCAGTTTTGAGAAGGCAAATCCTTAAGAGCAGGGCGTGCGAGTCCAGGAGGCATAGATCTGCCCTCCTGGGAGAAACTGGGGACTCGGAATCCCCAGATCTTAGTTTGCGCTTCATACCCCCTACCCCGCAACTCGCCGCCTTTACCCTCCGGACTCATGGGTCGGCACCGACCCCAGAGCGTGAGCCTACCCGGTCCTCCGGTGTCTCAGGCCGAGGTTGTCCTTGAGGGGCGGGCCGTCTGGAATGCCCACCTCCGGGCGTGTGTGTGGATTGTCCAGGACGCCACCGTATGGCCGGCTGCCACGATCCCGCTCCGGGGTGCCTCGGTCCTCAAAAAGCACGGCTCCCCCGAGTTTGTTGAAGACGATGGTGTTCATGGTGACCGCTGGCAGGGATGTGCGACTTCGCCGCAGCGCCTCGGAGCCGGGCCGCTAGGAGCTCTGCAGCAGGGCTCGGGTTCTAGAAGATCAAGGCGCATCACGTTACTCCCGACTGTGCCCAGGTTCCCGCAGTTCAGAAGCCCAGAATTTGGTGGGGGCTGCGGGACTGCTGAGCTGAGGGGCAGGGCTATATTGCTGCTGGTAGACTAGTGAATGCCCTTCTTCAGCACCTGGCTACCTACACACTCACACAGCACTCCTGGGACAGGTCCCGGCCCTTCTCCTCCTGGCAATCAAGCTCCCACACCTCCAGGAACTTCAAACATAAATAATTTACCTACTGAGGTAAAGAAATCAATTTCCAAACGAACTTTCCGGTCTCTAAGAGAGACACAATTAAGACAGCGAAGAAAAATAAGTAAGGGACATGTTCATTAAGCACCACACACAGAATAAAGCCTCTTCTAGGGTAATCAGGAGGAGTTGGAAGGAGGAGACGATTTGGGGTAACATGAATAATTGCATCCACAAGGGCGGCCAGTGTGTCCTAGGTGTCAAGGGATGTTCATGTTTTCTAGATGCTTGACCACAGGCGGAGACCCTTCTTTTAGTTAACGTCTCCCGCTGAGATAAGGACAGCGAGAGAAGTTAGTAGAGCCCCAAACCTGAAAATTAAGTGGTCTTAGGACAAATGTCTCACAAAATCTCCAATCTTCCTGGGGAGCTCAAAACGAAGATGCTAGGTCATGGATTCCTGGGGATTCCAATCCTCAGGAATTTGAGCCCATTTCAGAAGCCTGAAGGCTCCTAGCAGGCAATAACCCTCACACCTTTCAGACTGTGGCCGCTGGGCTCCGGACAGCCCGCAACTCGCCTCTGGAGTTGGAGTGCCTGGAGGCCTCAGCTCACCAGGTACAGCCATCCGGAGCAAGGCCGAGTGTCGGTAGGAAAGCCGCAGTATCGCTGCGAGATCCGGACCATGCCCGCCGGCCAGATTCCCCCCTTGGCAACTCCCAGTAGCTCGATCTACTCAGAGCCGCTCACACAGCGCCACCAGCACCCCCCTTCAACACATACATCCTGCTTCTTGAGTGCGCAGCGCCTACACTCGCCAACGCCCCCTGCCCCGCCCTCTAGTCACCGCAGTGGCGGCCACACGCGACATTTAGGAAAAGCCACAGCAACTAAGCGACGGCCACCGTCAATATTGGTATGGAAAGTGAAGTCAGACCTCTGGTGGCCGCTGTGTTGCGCCCTAGGGCTGAATTCTGCGCAGACAGGTACCGGTCGGGGTGCGCACTCAGTCTAGGTGGTTAAGTGTCAAAGCAAGTTTGTGAGCTCGGCGCCCCTGTTCCAACGGTTGGCGATCAAGCCCCTTTGCTGGTGCAAGCATCCTTCCCCCAGACACTCCACCTCTTCCCACACAGCCCAGTCCCTAGCAAAGCCATGGCCAGGTTTGCCACCTAGGACCTTTCCTACAGACTGCAAACACCGCCATGGTCCAGGTCTGCGACTGCGGGCGCGGTGGCGGGAGGTTGGCACATGTCCGAGAGCTCCGAACCATTACAATGGGTCGGCGTGGGGCGTGGAGGCCGTTAAGACCCACGATTCCTAATTCTTCCTGGCTCCCATGAAAGGTCCCCAACACCCCATCTCTGCTCTTGTGAGCTGCACTTACCCAGATTCTCTCCTAGCTGTACTGGGGAGCGCGCTCCCTGCGGAACTGTCCCGCGGATAATTAGAAAGCAGAGCAAAGGCGGCCAGGTGGGCTGCCAGCTGCTTCCCAGATCCTCCCTCCAGCCTTGACCAACACCCGGGAGCGTCCCCCACTAGACCTCAGACAGAGGTGGGGGAGGGGAGGGCAGAGCCCTAACGTGCAGAGAGCCAGGGAGCAGCCGCACCGCAGCCTGGGCGAGCCTGCGGCTCGGCGCTCAGGGGAGGGGACCCAGGGCCGTACCTGTGGCCGCGGGGCCCGCAGCCAGCGGCTGACTGTCCCTCCTCGGGGCTAGGCACACTCCCATCCCCGCCGCATGTTCTCGGCGCAGGCTACGAGGAGCTCACCGCCGCCACCGCCGTCGTCTCGGCTTTATTTACCCAGACGGGCGCGCGCGGCCCGGGACCCGGAATACCGAGGCCTTCTCATGTTTCCTGACTGTCTGGCCCAGCCCGCGAACATCTCGTGGGCCCGGTATCCATGTTCCCGGGCAGTGGGAGAGGAAGCAATCGCGCCCGCCGGGCCGCAGGAGCTGCAGTTAACCCCTGGCGGAGAAGCTGCCGCTGGCCGCGCCCCGAGCCCCCGGCAGCAGCATTCTCCTAGCCCGGCGCCGCTTCCGTTGCTCCCGCCTCGCAGCGCCGAGCAAAGCCGGCTTTTTCCTTCGCGCTCAGGGGAGTAATCCAAGAAGCCGCCCGAAGCCTGGGGCTCCAGAGGTTGCGGTGCAAATCCCGTGTCTTAGCTGCTCCCAGTGCCGGAAATGTCACTATGTATGGCAGGGCGCGAGAAGGTCGCGGAGACGCACCGGGTGTTTCCCTTCTGATTAGCTGGAGGTTAGAGCTTCTTGCACCCGGGAATTCCTTTTGGTGCCGTTGGGCTGGCCAGCGAAGTCCAGGCTGTGGAGGTCAAGGCCAGGCAAGCGTGCGCTTCCCAAGACAAGAACTGAAGAGGTAGGGATGCGGAAAGGCAGAGGTGGGGCCAGGCAAGTTCAGGTGCCTGTGCTGCGCTAATCAGGAGTGCAGGAGACCGAGCTCGGGGAGGCTGTAACTACAAGTACCCTTTGGTTGGAACCCGAAGGCATCTGGAGTAAGGAGAAAGTGGCTACCACACGCTCCAAGCGGTGCTTTGTAATCCACCGAAGACTGAGCAGAATTTGTGGCAGCTTTAGAGTGTCCCCGAGGTGGAGCACCAAGTCGCCTGCTCGGGTGGCTGGGCCCTGCTGTTCTCGCTACTGTCCATCTCTTTTAAGAGCTAAAGCAGGTTTTTAAAAACCGGACAGAATTAACATCATTTCTCCCTTAACTATGGCCATGCAGGGCTGATCCGCACCTAAGAGTCCTCCTTTTATGTGGTCTAGAAGTGGCTAACGTATGTAATAAAGCTGCTATTTCCAGGACTAACAGCACTCTCGGTTCTTCAGAGTTGCTATCTCCTCAATTAGTGGGCGGAAACCCAGCATGGCACAATCTAAATCAGAAAGGAGAGTGGCTTTTCATTTCTGCGCGCCAGGCAGATGCGCACTATGGTTTGACTGCATTTTGCGCTGTTCCCAGATTTCTGTTATATAATGTTCCTTGGTCACGCTGCTCCACTGTCTTTTGCGCTGCGCTTGTGCAGTAGGTTGAGAACAGGCTCTGGTCTACAGGGGCCACCACAGCGGCTTAAACCGCATGGACACATCTTACAGTTTCAACCACCGCTTTTCTGCCGTCCAGTTTCACAACAGAGGCAGGCACAGCTGACAGTCCATAGGTAGAAAGAGTCCATTCTCTTCCGTCGTCTCTGTGTGAAGATGGTCGGTAGACACTGGGATGAACTCAGTTGCAACCTTCCCTTCTGACCGACGTTCTCGCCAGCTGCCCTTCCCTGGGGCGAGGCAGCATTCGCGAATGTGATTATAATTTTATAATATTCTATTGGTTTACGGAGCTGCGTGCTATAGTAATGCTACTGTAGTGCAGAACAAAGCAATTTTGTGATTTTTTTTTTAGTATTTCAATGTATCTACATGCATTAAAAAAAATCCAGGGGACATCACTATACATCGGCAAGCTAGTCCTCCCCCATGAGATATACAGAATTTAAAAAAAAAAAAAACTTTTGTCACATACACCTTCGACTCACGTGAGGTCACTGAAAATTAATATATCACATCTCCTTTGGACTGGGGCTTAATGGTTAGGATCTATTTTTCAATGGAGGGACAGTAGAGGGCCCTTGTTAAAAATGAAAGTGTTTTCGGAACAGTTCACAGAGAGCATTCCAGGTTGCAGCCTTTGTGCGAGAGGGAAGTGTCTTCTTCCACAACAGCCCAGACACCTTTATTGTATCATATGAAATTTCATCTTTTCCTAAATTGATTTTTACTCGGGCTCTGTGAAGTGCTGTACTGTCATCCCCAGTGTGAACTTGCTGTTTTTTAGGCAGCTGTTGAGAGAGTGAGGCACATGTAGGAGGTGCCCTTTCCCTGAGGAAAGGAACCCCCAACTGAGGAGGCAGAAAACCCGAGACCTAAACAATTCTGGTTAACCTGATATTGGTTTAGCGTGAATTTACTAAAGTGTAAAATAATAATAATGTTTCCATAAACTTGCCTTACACTATTTTTATGGTGTTTTTTAAAATGTGGAAGTAACATATCGCCATTTCTGAAGCTAGAAAGATGTTTAAGGACATTAGGCAAAATTTTGATCTGTTTTATTTAACTTAAGATATAATCATAGATATATGTTATTTTCACCTTACAGTGTGTGTGGTGTTGCTTTTGGCGTTTTGATATTTTTACCAAGGTATCTTGACGTTTCAGAATCATCATTGGTCAAAGTGCTTGGGAGGAAAACGTGTTTTTAAACTCACTTTCACACTTTTAATACTTACGGGCAGAGAATGAGCAGATGGTGCAAAAGTGTTCTGAGATAGCAAGTGTGTGAACATCGGACCAGGCTCACTTCACAGTTAGCCGAGTTGACTGTAGAGGCAGAAGTTGGTGCTCTAGGACAGCAAGCAGTCCAGTGAGGAAAAGTGGGAACACGAGCAGGCTCTGAAAGGTGTCCCACAAAGTCTGTGCTTGTTTCCAATTTAATTGCATAAATAACAGCTGCTGGAAGAGTGGGGCCTTTCCCACATGTGAACTCTCGAGAACAGCAGACCTCCCAAGTCCACCTTGGCCTTGCAGTGTTCAAAGGACCCACCAAAATGTGGTTACTGCGCTATACACACATCTTTTTGACCTCTCTCAGTGCCTTCACACACAGGATTAGAAATACACTAGTTTTTCTTTCAGTCAGTCAATAAACAAGACCAGGCTGTGTACAAGAACATACACTCTCACACAAACGCTAAACAAAGTAGCTTGCCATTAAACTAAAACACTTGCCTTTTTACTAAGTGATGTCACAGAGACTTTAGTATATACTCTGTGTTGCTGTAAATTCTTTTAAACTGTTGCATAATGCTCCGTAATCTATTCAGTCATTCCCACACAAGCATTTCTGCTCCGGTTTTCATCTTCATAAAATTACTACACATCCTTGTACACGATTCTTCCTATTCATGCTTAAGCATTTTTTTTCTATAAATAGCCACATGGCAACAGAATTGAAGGAAACATTTTTTTTAAATTATAAATTGATCAACATTTCCAAATTTTCCTTCATTTTAAGTCTTTTTCCCACCCTACTTCACCCCCCCCCCCCCAATGATACACAGACGTCCCTGAGGTCACCTCTCCTCATGTAATAGGCAGTATTTGTAGTTCAGTGTTTGCAATCTGCCTGGACAGATAGTGCAAAGTGTCTCATTGTTTGGGGGACCTTTTCTTAATGTTCTTATTTATTATTGTTGTTAATAGAAGTGTTTTGACTTTTTGTGGCCCAGGCTGGCTTTGAACTCATGAGACTCCTTCTTCCTCAGCCTCCTTACTTCTAAAATTACAGGCATGGAGCCCTGTGGCTGGATAAGCTCCTTGACTTTTTAAATCAACTTATTGATTTAGAAAGCTTATGCTTATGTATATGTGTGTGTGTGGGGGGAGGGTCACATATAATAAATATTCTGCCAGGTCCTTGTCTCTGTCTTCTGGAAGGTGTAAGCATGACACATATATGTCAGTTTTTCTTTTTATGATATTTGGTTTTGTCTCTTACTGAAGATTTTTTCTTTCTTCCTTTCCCCCTTTTTAAAGATGTATTTGTGTGTGTGTGTGTGTGTGTGTGTGTGTGTGTGTATGTGTGTGTGTGTGTGTGTGTGTGTGTGTATGTGTGTGTGTGTGTGTAAGTGAATGTATACCACCCGAGTGAGGGATTTCCCATGGAGGACAGAAGAGAGTATTGGACTCCCTGTAGCTGGAGGTCAAGTGGTTGTGAGCCACTCAACATAAGTGCCGGGAACTGAATTTGGGTCCTTCTGCAGTATACACTCCTAACCACTGAACCATCTTTCCAGCCCCCTTACACTTCCTTTTAATCCTGTTAAAATTTGTTTACATTTGGCTTTTCAATTCTTCTGAAACTTAATTGTCTTGTGAGATAGAGACATACATTGATAGCTAAAAGTTTTTAATTGAGTAGCTGATTAGCCCATGAATATAATGGGAAATTTCTCCCTACGAATTTGAAGTTACTTTTCTGTTTCTGGAAAATCTCCCTTTCCAGGTGTAGGCTGACTTAACAAGACAGAGGGATATCACAGAATGACCAGGATGCTCTAGTATGTTTAGTCCTCAATTTTTAAGAGCCACCTTGAGCTCTAAAGACTTTTAAGATCGTACCATCTGTAATATGAGGACACACAGCACTGACATACTTCCTGGCTATGGTTCTGAGGCAGATGCTTGGGCTTGTCTTTTATCGACTCAGAAGCAGGACAGTAGTTTAGCGGCATGTTCCTGGGAGCCAGGGGCACCCACACTCAGCTTTTCAGTAACAAGGGATGATTGGTCCCGGTGAGCAATGTGAGGTAAGATAGGATTGCTTGTACAAGTATTGAGAAAACTGCTGCCTTCTCCTTGCTCAGTTTTCCATGAATATTAGCTTTTCTTCTTCACACAAAGCAGCTAATTAAAAACTTTATTATTGTTATCATTTTAGATTTATTTTATTATTTTACATGCATGAGTGCCTACATGTTTGTCTGTGTACCAAGTGCTTGCCTGGTACCTGAGGAGGTCGGAAGAGGGTGTCAGCTTCCCTTTGATTAGAGTCAACCAGATGGTTGTTAGCCACCCCATGGGTGCTGGGAATTGAATCTGGGTTCTCTGCAAGAACAAGAGCTTTTAACTGCTGAGCCATTTCTCCAGCCCCAATAATTAAAAAAAATTTTTTTTTTAAAAACAGAGTCTCACTATGTAACCCAGGTTGGCCTCAAACTCAGGATCCTCCTGCTTCATCCTTCTGAGAGCTGGATTATAGCTATGTACCACAATGCCTGGCAAGATAAACATCTGTGATAATATTTTATGAGTCAAATTTACCCTGTCCCTTTAAAAATGCAAGTATTTTTCACTGCAATTAAAAAGCAGCTATATATTTAAACAATACAAATAATAAGCCATCTGAGGCCCAAGTGGAGTGTCTCGTTCTATTTCATGGTGGTTGAAGGAGGATGGAGAGAATCCCTGCATCTCAGTAACAATGCACCTCAGAACTACAGCTCAGGTGTCTGCTGTGCACATGAAACACAGCTAGATTGGTGTTCTTCAGGGACCTGGAAGCACTTCAACAACAAAATTATTTTGAGAACACCATTCCAGCTTGCAAAACAATTTTCCTTTATGCCAAAAGTGGTTGTGCTTATAGTTCTGACTACTGTGAAAACCAAGTTGGGAGGATTACTTGAGCCTAGGGCTTGGGGAATGTAGTCAAACCCTATCTTGTGAGTCAGGAGGGAAGGAATAAAGGAAGAAGGGAGGGAGGGAGAGAAGAAGGAAGGAAGGAAGGAAGGAAGGAAGGAAGGAAGGAAGGAAGGAAGGAAAGACGGAAAGGAAGGAAGACAGAAAGAAAGGAAGAAAGAATGAAAGGAAGGAAGGAAGAAAGAAAGAAAGAAAGAGAGAAAGAGAGAAAGAAAAGAGGAAATTGGTGTAATGAATATAGTCAAAACTGACCCCTGCCTAGTAGGGCTCAACATGGAATCTAATGGACATCAGATAACAAGATTTCAAATTTTAATTCCTCTGTGTATAATTCAATATGTGCCAAAATTTCATAGGACTCTACAATCAATACTCTGATTTCATTTTATAATTACACCAGTATCTATGTATAACATATCTGAATAAGAACATCAGTAAAGTGGGTGTGAGCTGAATCAGTCTTTGCAGTTTACAGGTTATTTCTCTCCCACTGAGTTGGCCAAAAACTTCTAGTGGCTTCCTTTTGTGTTGATGGAGGGAAGGGTGTGTGTGTGAGTAGTCCTTCTTGATTTATAGCACAAAATTCCTACTAGAATTTTAATCTAGTAACTAGATTAAGACCCACTTGCCAGGCCGTGGTGGCACATGCCTTTAATTCCAGCACTCAGGAGGCAGAGGCAGGTGGATCTCTGAGTTCAAGGCCAGACAAACACAGTGAGTTCCAGGACAGCCAGAGCTACACAGAGAAATTGTGTTTTGAAAAATAAAACAACAACAAAAAGAAAGAAAGAAAGAAAGAAAAAAGAAAAAGAAAAAAAGAAAGAGAGAGGGAGGGAGGAAGGAAGGAAGGAAAGGAAGAAAAAAAGAAAATACCTACAATAATGGCTAGTTTATCTTGATTATGTCAGTCGAGGTGGGAGACCACACTAAGAGCAGGCAGCACTGCTTTCTGGGCTTGGTGTGTACCAAGTTGAAACTGAGCTGAGCAGCAGTGGTTCATGGCTCTTTGCTTGCCCAGAATTTGTCTTCTCTTTAATTTAAATTTAACTTTTTTATGTTTGAGAATTTCATGAGTACTGTATTAACCATTTCCACTCTGCCTCCTTTCCCTCCAACTCCTTCTATGTTCCCTCCTCTCCATCACTTCATTTCAAATCATGACCTTTCTTCTCCTCCTCCTCCTTCTTCTCCTTTTTCTTTTTCTTCTTCTTTTCTTTCTCTTTCTCTCTCTAAACACACACACACACTTCACAATTTGCTGATTCCATTTAGTGTTTCCCATATGTATGTGTGTTTAGGGCTAAACAACTTGAGATTGGCTGTGGTGGCTCATCCCTGGAGAAGACTGATTCTTTCTCGGCAGCTCTGGTTGCCTGCATCTCTCCCTCTGCATGTCTTTATGAATATTTCCCCTTTCACACTGGCATGTCAACTGGTGGTATCATTGTGTGGGTCTTATTTAGGCAACTGTATTGTTGAGATTTTGTGGGTGCAGCATCCCTGTCCTGTATAGAAGAAATTATCTGACAGCAGGCAGAAGCTTGTCTTGTAGGTAATTCTAAATCTTATTAAGTTGACAACCAATATTAACTATCACAAAGATATTTCCCAATTCAGTTGCACTGGGATTCAATATACAATTTTTGAGAAGAAAATATACAGTACATAGCAGACCGTGACCATTGCCAGTTGATGAACAGCATCGTCAAAGACGGAAGGAACTCAGAGCTTCAAATGGAACACATAGGTGAGAGCCTTCTGGTCTACTTGGAACTGGGTTCAGACAACTTCTGTAAAGTGCAACACAGTCAATGTTCAGTAATTGGGGTCATTTAGACTGGGTTGTATTATTCAACTTTGCCACTATGTGCAAAAGTAGCCATTGGTCACTCTTGACTATGAGTTGAAGGAGCGCTGGTATATTTCAATAAATCCAATAAGTTTTTATTTAAATGGACACTGAAGATTGAATTTTAATACAATCTTCCCGTGCTACAAATATTGTTTTTCCATTTTTTTACAACTATGTAAAAATGTAAAAGCAATTCTCAGGAGCCAAAACAGGCAGTGGTGTGTGTGTGTGTGTGTGTGTGTGTGTGTGTGTGTGTGTGTGTGTGTGTGTGTGTGTGTTTTCCCTGGATGTATGCATATACATGATGTGAATGTCTGGTGCCCTCAGAGGCCAGAAGACAGCATTGGATCCCCTGGAGCTAGAGTTAGAGATGATTGTGAACTGCCAAGTGGGTGCTGGTGATCAACCCTGTGTCTTCTGCAAGAGTGCAAGGGCTCTTCTCTAACTAATGAGCCATCTCTCCAGCTCCTGATGGTTTGGAATTTGCTCAAAGGAGAGGAATGGTCACTGTCTCTCAACTTTGAGCTACTAAGAGAGGCAAATAAACATCTTATTTTAGTTTCTGTATTTGAGGCTTCCTTCGTGTTCACAGTATTTAGTCAGTGCTCTAAATAATGCATTTGTACCAAGATGATCTTAGTGGCCCGAGGTGGGCTTAAGAAAAGGGCTTTTTATTTATTTTTTAAATTTCATTTATTTATTTATTTATTTATTTATTTATTTATTTATTTATTTATTTATTTAATTTTTCAAGACAGGGTTTCTCTGTATAGCTTTGCGCCTTTCCTGCAACTCACTCTGTAGCCCAGGCTGGCCTCGAACTCACAGAGATCCACCTGCCTCTGCCTCCCGAGTGCTGGGATTAAAGGCATTTGCCACCGCTTCCATGGCCTCCTCTAAAAGGTGCTTTTTAGATAACAAAAGCTACTACAAGCAGGGGAGCTGGGAGGGAGGCTGTGGAAACTGCTCTTCTGCCCACTGCTGGGGCCTGCTCTCTATGTGTTTATAGGGAACCAGCCCAGTTAACTTTACACTGTTTTAGCTTGCGTTTTTAAAACTCCAAGCTTTCTTACCTCTTTCCCTGTCTCCTGTCCCTCCTCCCCTCCCTCCTTCCTTCCCTCCTTTTCCTTTCCCTCCCTCCCTTCCTCCCTGCCTCCCTCCTTCCTTCCATCCTTCCTTTCTTCCTCTCTTCCTTCTTTCTCTCTCTCTTTTTTGTTGGTTTTTCAAGACAGGGTTTCTTTGTGGTGTTTTGGTACCTGTCCTGGAGCTTGCTCTATAGGCCAGGCTGGCCTTGAACTCACAGAGATCCACCTGGCTCTGCCTCCCGAGTGCTGGGATTAAAGGTGTGCGCCACTGTCACCCAGCCTCCTCCTTCTCTATTAGTTTTCAATGTATCTTCAAGTGTCTAGGTTTTAATGCTATATCTTTGTAAGTGGATGGTGGTGATTAATTTTTAGGAATTACTGTTTTCTGGCTGGTCAACTCATCAGGTCCTAATATAGAAAAGCACCCACAAAAATTTAAACTATATTTTTGCTGTTTTTAATAATCAATCATAACTATTTATGGGGCACCTGCATGAAAACCCCCGTGCCAAGAAGGACATCGAATTTGATTGGAAAGACATGGTCCTGGGCTCACTTACAACCCCGTTAGGAAAGCACAGGAAAACAAACCTCCTCTCAAAAGGTTTAGGGTATCTGATATAAAGATTGCCTAAATCCGTTCAATCTATAAATCATCTGTGCACAGGCATGAGGGAACTCGAAGACGATAGAATGACCATTTTATGTGTCTGCTAAAGATTTTGTAACCATATTACCAACATCCTTCCCAAAAACATGCAAAAAGAGAACATTATTTCAGAAATTTGAGCCTGATTGAAAAACAGTATTTTCACTTCTTACATCAGGCTTTTTCAAGTTTTATGCCCAAATCCTCTGGGTTTCAAGAGAGATTTTTTTAGAGCTTCCGTTGAAAGAATAAAAAAGGGGGAAAAAGTATGGTAACATGAAATGCTCTGAGTTTAGGTCCTGATTTTCCTTCCTCCTTCCCTGGTCTGTGCCAAACACTACCTCTCCTGCCGCCCCCCCCCCCTCCCTCACTACTCCAAACCTCTTGTACCGGTGAAGGCGTGGGAGAGCAGGATCCGAGAGAGGCATTGTTTACAGAAACTTGTCTGTATGGTGGTGAAACAGTTCTTGGTGCTTGTGGAGGGAAGTCTCCATTTGTCCCCAGTATGGCGGGACTGACTGCTTCCCAAGTATTTGGGCCACCATCCCTCAGAGCAGGCAGCAGATACTGAGTCGTGTGTCAAGTCACAGTGTGACCTGAAGTCATCAGCTGTCTTCGGATTTTTTATCTTCATTGGTGACTTTTAAGTGTGCTGTGATGTCCTAGGCACTCTGGATAGAAGAAAAGGTGTTTCTCCAATTAATGGACAATTGAAATGGCCTGAAGTCTAGTCATGGGGTAGGAGCAAAAGCTGTAAACCTTGGCTGACAACTTGGGATGGGGGCAGATGCATGTCTTTGGGCTCTGTGCTTAACAGCAGAAAAGTCACTAACACAGTTCATTGTTCATTCTGCAGGCGACGTATTGCTAGGTGAGGAGCAAGTCTCATCTCGTCATCACCTGGCGCAGGACGGCTTTGTGCAGCTCCAGCCCGGTGGTAACAGGAGCCACACTTCACCTTAGTTATGAGTGCTCACTCTCCAGATGACTCACTGAACAGGCCAAGGTTCCTGTCGACGTGGAGAATGTCCTACTGGAAATGAAAAACAACATGCCTTGCAGTGGCCCCAGAGATCCTGCGATGATGGAGCCTGGTGGCAAGTGGCCTTGCTCTGAAGCAGAGGCCCAGGTTTACAAGCAGTCCTGTCAGCTCCGAGGTCCTCCTCACATAGTTTTGTCTGTTTTGTTTGCTGTGTCTTGGGCCTGTAGCTAACGTCTGTGGAGGCCAAGGCAAGAAAACAACCCAAAGCCCACACACCATGTGCCTAAATACTTACAAGTTATACGTCAAACTAATACACTGCTAAATAGAGTGGGTCTTAACAAATAAAACATTATGCTGGGGGGAAAGTCTATATGAAATTAAGATTTTTTTTTTGTTGAGAAGATCTCAGACACAAATAAATTTGTTATTACACATTGGTATTTTGTATTGGGTATTTTGTGGCTAGCCTTATAATCGTTAGATGAGAAATAAGATGGGATACATAAATAATAATTCATAATGTACTTACATCATGAAATACATTTTTATCTTTTTTTCAGCAAAAATCATTAATTGTGCAATCAGAACCAATATTCTCTCATGATTTGTGTTTTAAAGTGTTAGAAACCAGAAAATGTCCAAAATCAGAAAACAATTTTCACCAAGGAACATACAATAAAATAAACATGAAGAATTTTAAAATAGAACTACATTTATATATATTATTTGTGAAATGACACACAAAAATTTAAACAAAGAAAAGGAAAATTAGGATGAACATGTAATTTAAGCAATGGTGAATTTTTCTTTAATTTTTATTTAAGTTTAAAGTATTTTACACATGTAATTTTTGCAACACTATTGCCTTAAGAACAGTTGGCTTTGGTGTAGAGTGTTGGTATCAGACTCATGAATGCCTTCTCTAGATTTGCATATTTATTGATTTACTTGTAATGTTTTAAATTGTATTGTGTTCTTTTGGGGAGAGGACCTCATGTATCCCAACCTGGCCTCAAAAGCTTTGTAGCTGGTGATGCCATTGATCTTTCTGCCTCTACCTTCTGAGTACTGGGATCACAGGCATATTCATGAGTACTGGGATCACAGGCATGTTCATGAGTACTGGGATTACAGGCATGTTCATGAGTACTGGGATTATAGGCATGTTCATGAGTACTGGGATCACAGGCATGTTCATGAGTACTGGGATTACAGGCATGTTCATGAGTACTGGGATTACAGGCATGTTCATACGTGGCTTATGTAGTGCTAGGAAGCACTCGCATGGCTTTGTGCCTTGAGGCTAGAACTCTAATGAGTAAGCTACACTCCCAGCTTCAACATTACCTGATGTTCCTTTGTTGCTAGGTACAACTCCTGCAAAGATTAGCTACATCCCTTCAGAACCATGCATTGGAAAAGCAAGAAGATGATGTCAGTGCCCCCGCCACCCTGCCCCAGAATGGGCAATGGGATGGGAACCGTGTTGCATGAGACAAGCCTATGCTGTGTTCATACTTTCTGTGTATGACTGAGTTACTTTTCTCTGTTGTTAGAAATAGTGCTTCCTTCCAGTGTTCTTGGTGGTGTAGCCCAAATCTTTTCAAGGTTAGAGTGTGAGCATCCTTGAGTTTGAGGGTAGAAGGCAAACAATATACAGAAGCATTTCCTCAAGGTCTGAATGGTGTTAAGTCACAAGAACGCACACTGTGGTCTCTTTTGAGTTTCCAATAGATTACTGTTTTTGTTTGTTTGTTAGTTTGTTTTAGGTTACCATGGAGCTTGCATGAAACATTTGATAGCTACAGTGCTTATTGACATATTTTTAAAAATCTGGGGCTTTGGAGATGGTTCACCAGGTAAAAGGCCTTGTCACCCATGAGTTCAGTCCCCAGAATCCGTATGGAGGAAACAGCCCCTCCCAGTTGTCCTCTGACTGCCACGTGCACTTTAGCATGTGTATGCCCTTATTAAATTTGCCCCTCTAGTAAGTAAATTGAAATTGAACTCATTGAAGGCTTTTGATGAGTGTACAGCCTTTAACGGTCCCAGGGCTGTTAACACATACTGAAACCCCTAGAAGGACAGTAAAATCTTTCTGGGACAACCTGCATTTTTAAAGGGTGTAGGATGATTGCAGAATCATCCTTTGGGAAACATTGTCTTCACTGATAATCAGGTGTGTGTGTGTGTGTGTGTGTGTGTGTGTGTGTGTGTGTGTGTGTGTGTGTGTGTCTGTGTCTGTGTCTGTGTGTGTGTGTCTGTATGTATGTATGTACATACTTGAGCAAGGTAGTTTTTGTAGGAGGCAGCTGGCATGGGTCTGAAGATATTTCACAGCTGTACCTAATGCTTCCCACCTGGTGCTTTTCCACAGGATGGCCACAAGCCACTGGAAGCAGTGGCTACCCACTAGAAAGACATGGCCCAGGTCTCAGCTTATCATGCCCAAACTCAGCTTTTCTGGGCTGCAGGGTGCACACCCCTATAAGAGGGCTACTTCCTGAGTCATAAGTTGAGAAAAATAACTCTAGAGCAATGCCCACCAAGCCCTTTGATTGCACATTTTTATCAATTAAAAATGTTGCTCTAACATATAGTAATTGTTTGTAAGTAGGCATAACCCTGTACTGTTATTTATGAACATTTTAAATCAGGTGAGAAGAAAACCTTTCAAAGACAGAGAGCAGGCACAGCCAGATGGTAGAATGCTTGTCTAGTTCGTGCAAAGCTGTGGGTTCAAGCCCCAGAGCAAAAGAAAGAAAGAACAGTATCAAACCAAAGACAGATTAAATACTTTATCTACAGACTTAAAATTTATGTATTCATTAATACAAAAATATCCCGCTCCTAGAAAAATATTGTTAATGAATACTAATAACTGTTAACATTACCAACTAGGTTATTTTAGTAAAAGCAATGGAATTTAATTGCTTCATGCTCTTTTTCCAAATCAAGGTATAATAGTATAAACATTAGAATCCAGGTTCAGATTATAAAGGCTTGTTTTGGTGCCGACATCGCTTGTAAATCTCCCACCGGTTTTTGTTTTGTGGTTACCATGAAGCTTACATAAAACATCTAACAACAATTATACCAGGCCAACAAGTGGATGTTGTTACGTCACAGAAAAATACTCAATAGGGCTTAGGGAGATGGCCCGGTCATAAGTGCTTGTTGCACAAACATGGGGTCCTGAGTGCAGATCTCCAGAACACGGATTAAAGCTCTGTATGGTGCACTTGTCTGTAACTCCAGCACCTGGAGTGTGGTGTAGGGGAGTCCAAGGATCTCTGGGGCTTGCTGGTCAGCTAGTCCTGCTGCATCGGTGACCTTCAAGTCCAGTGAGAGACCTTGTCTCAAAAAATAAGGTGGAGCATTCCTGAGAAAGAAAGCTAACATGGATCTCTGCCCACTTCATGAATTCCAGTGTGCCCAGAAGCATATACATGTGCATACACACACACACACACACACACACACACACACACACATCCCAATATTCTATACTTTCATACTCCCCACTTTTTTGATGTAGCAATTTATATTTCTTTATATTCTGTAACTCTTAACAAATTATGATTTTAAGTATTTTTGTCAGCATTAGTGTGTTATGAATTTGGTTATGAATTCTGAATTTATTTTTTCCAGTGAGTTTTATACTTTAATATTTCCCTAGTAAGCATTTTTAATTTTACAATGTTGTCATCCCTAGGAGTCATTTCAAGGCAGGACATAGATTGCCTTAAGGAATGGGTTTCTGACTAGACTTAAGAGTTTTTAGCCACAGCCACAAATCATGCAAAATATTTTGCTGAAATTACACCTTTAAATCTCACTTGATATTAATCAACTATTTTAAACCAGTGAGCAATCATGTTTTTATAAAAAAGGCCAGTATTTCACTGAAACTCTTTGGGAGAGTTTAAAGTGGATTGAAAAGTTGCATTCCCAATTTTTTTTTTTTTTTTTTTTTTTTTTTTTTTTTTTTTTTTTTTTTTTTTTTGGTTTTTCGAGACAGGGTTTCTCTGTGTAGCTTTGCGCCTTTCCTGGATCTCGCGCTGTAGCCCAGGCTGGCCTCGAACTCACAGAGATCCGCCTGGCTCTGCCTCCCGAGTGCCCAATTTTTTAAAAAGAGTTACAAAGAGTTTCAATTGCTAGTATAGGTTATTTTCAGAAGCAAAATCTCACAATGATGGGTACAATTTTAAGTCACCAGTAACTGGAAACAGCTATTTTCTCAATTCTTGTTAAATGTATCTTTACCTGAAGGGGGCAGATGAGGAGTGTTTTCTATGTCCTTTTTGGTTTTGTTTTTAAATATCGGTAAGTTAGATTTCTGCTCGAAGGCAGGTCTTAAAAGATTTCAGAGGTTGCTGTGGTCTTAAGCTGGTATTTGGGAGATAAAAGCGTTTGTGAACATTAGAAGGTTGCCTAGCCGTGGGGGGCTGTATAGCAGGAGGTCCGTATATCTTACACATGCTACTTTGGCTTTGATTGTACCATGAAGCAACCAGAGCCAGGTGCAGTTGCATACTTCAGTCATCCCAGACCTCAGGAGGCTGAGACAGGAAGACGGCCAGTTCAAAGTCAACTGGGGCTAAGCAGTGAGACCCTGCCTCAATGAGTCATTAAGCAAATAAAATTCAGAATGAATAAGTAAGAATGAAGCCATCCGCTGCCAAGCATGGATTCCATTCTGGGAAGGGCAGGGGAGCTGATGGGTGACTTGCAGTTTGAAGTAAGTAGGTCCTCGAGGAATGAGTCCTTGCATGTGGGAGAACAGACATCACAGAGAGCCGATATCGTGGAGCTTTTGGACACCAAGCACTGTCCCAGGGTTTTCTTGTATATCACTTCATTTAAAACTCACAAGGATGTCTGAGGCCCAGCCGGATCACAAACTTCACAGTTAAGAATCTGAGCTCAAGGTCAGACAGCTGCTAAGTAAAGAAGCAGGGACGTTTGTTTGAAGATGATAACTTCAGTGATGCACATGAGGAGGTCAAGTGCTGGCCTGTCCACCTGCCCTGCTGATATGCCCAAGCTGGAGCTCCCTACTGGGACTTCTGAGGTGCTCCAGAGCATGGGTGCTGACCACTGGTCTCCTTGGAAACAGACCTCACTCCTGCTGCGGCAGTTCTCTGTGCTCTTGCCTCCAACACAGACCAGAGGGTGGACCAGCTGAAGTTAGCCTCTGGTCTTGTAGAGCGCCGATTGACTGAAGTCTGTGCGCTTCTTCAGGGATATTCCCTAGCATTTAAAGTTTATTTTATTTTATTTTTGATATTACATACTTCAAGATTTGTTTTTGAATTTTGCCAACACATAAGATGTAACATTAATGGTCAGGGCACTTTCTCTGACTGCCGCAATGATGGTTTGTGTCCTCGGGAAGACGTCAGCAGAGTCTGTAGACACTCTATTCCAGGCAGCA